GGGGTTCTGTCTGTCCTTTTTTATTTTTATTTGTTAGGGTAGTTTTTAGTGCTTGTTTTCGTTGTTGGATTTGGTTTTTGGTTTGGTTGCTGTCTTCTTTCTTTCTCTTTTTTATTACTATCTATTTTTTTTTAAATTTTCAATAATTTTTTTACTTTTTATTTTAATAACTTTATTTTATTTTTCTTTCTTTTTTCTCCCTTTTCTTCTGAGCCGTGTGGCTGACAGGGCCTTGGTGCTCTAGCTGGGTGTCAGGCCAGTGCCTCTGAGGTGGGAGAGCGGAGTTCAGGACATTGGTCAACAAGAGACCTCCTGGCTCCATGTAATATCAAATGGTGAAAGCTCTCCCAGAGATCTCCATCTCAACTCTAAGAGCCACCTCCACTCAACGACCAGCAAGCTTCAGTGCTGGACACCCCCTGCCAAACAACTAGCAAGACAGGAATATAACCCCACCCATTAGCAGAGAGGCTGCCTAAAATCATAATAGGGTCACAGACACACCAAAACACACCACCGGATGTGGTCCTGCCCACCACAAAGACAAGATCCAGGCTCATCCACCAGAACACAGGCACCAGTCCCCTCCACCAGGAAGCTTACACAACCCAGTGAAACAACCTTAGCCACTGGGGGCAGACACCAAAAACAATGGGAACTACAAACCTGCAGCCTGCAAAAAGGAGACTCCAAACACAGTACGTTAAGCAAAATGAGAAGACAGAGAAACACAAAGCAGATGAAGGAGCAAGGTAAAAACCCACCAGACCAAACAAATGAGAAAGAATTAGGCAGTCTACCTGAAAAAGAATTCAGAGTAATGATAGTAGAGATGATCCAAAATCTTGGAAATAGAATGGAGAAAATACAAGAAACGTTTAAAAGGACCAAGAAGAACTAAAGAGCAAACAAACAATGATGAACAACGCAATAAATGAAATTTAAACTTCTCTAGAAGGAATCAATAGCAGAATAACTAAGGCAGAAGAATGGATAAGTGACCTAGAAGATAAAATAGTGGAAATAACTACCGCAGAGCAGAATATAGAAAAAAGAATGAAAAGAATCGAGGACAGTCTCAGAGGCCTCTGGGTCAACATTAAATGCGCCAACAGTCGAAATATAGGGGTCCCAGAAGAAGAAGAGAAAAAGAAAGGGACTGAGAAACTATTTGAAGAGATTATAGTTGATAACTTCCCTAATATGGGAAAGGAAATAGTCAATCAAGTCCAGGAAGCACAGAGTCCCATACAAGATAAATCCAAGAAGAAACATGCCAAGACACATATTAATCAAACTATCAAAAATTAAATACAAAGAAAAAATATTGAAAGCAGCAAAGGAAAAACAACAAATAACACACAAGGGAATCTCCATAAGGTAAGCAGCTGATCTTTCAGCAGAAACTCTGTAAGCCAGAAGGGAATGGCAGGACATATTTAAAGTGATGAAAGGGAAAAACCTACAACCAAGATTACTCTACCCAGCAAGGATCTCATTCAGATTCTACAGAGAAATTAAAACCTTTACAGACAAGCAAAAGCTAAGAGAATTCAACACCACCAAACCAGCTTTACAGCAATGCTAAAGGAACTTCTCTAGGCAAGAAACACAAAAGAAGGAATAGACCTACAAAAACAAACCCAAAACAATTAAGAAAATGGTAATAGGAACATACATATCGATAATTACCTTAAACGTAAATGGATTAAATGCTCCAACCAAAAAACATAAACTGGCTGAATGGATACAAAAACAAGACCCATATATATGCTGTCTACAAGAGACCCACTTCAGATCTAGGGACACATACAGGCTGAAAGTGAGAGGATGGAAAACAATATTCTATGCAAATGGAAATCAAAAGAAAGCTGGAGTAGCAATTCACATATCAGACAAAATAGACTTTAAAGTAAAGATTATTACAAGAGACAAAGAAGGACACTACCTAATGATCAAGGGATCAATCCAAGAAGAAGATACGACAATTGTAAATATTTATGGACCCAACATAGGAGCACCTCAATACATAAGCCAAATGCTAACAACCATAAAGGGGGAAATTGACAGTAACACAATCATAGTAGGGGACTTTATCACCCCACTTTCACAATGGACAGATCATCCAAAATGAAAATAAAGAAACACAAGCTTTAAATGATACATTAAATAAGATGGACTTAATTGATATTTATAGGACATTCCATCCAAAAACAACAGAATACACTTTCTTAAGTGCTCTTGGAACATTCTCCAGGGTAGATCATATCTTGGATCACAAATCAATCTTGGTAAATTTGAGAAAACTGAAATCATATCAAGTATCTTTTTCAACCACAATGCTATGAGACTAGATATCAATTACAGGAAAAAATCTGTAAAAATTACAAACATATGGAGGCTAAACAATAAGTACTAAATAACCAAGAGATCACTGAAGAAATCAAAGAGGAAATCAAAAAATACCTAGAAACAAATGACAATGTAAACACGACAACCCAAAACCCAGAGATAAACCCACGCACCTATGGTCAACTAATCTGTGACAAAGGAGGCAAGAATATACAGTGGAGAAAAGACAGCCTCTTCAATAAGTGGTGCTGGGAAAATTGGACAGCTACATGTAAAAGAATGAAATTAGAACACTCCGTAACACCATACACAAAAATAACCTCAAAATGGATTAAAGACCTAAATGTAAAACTTTAAAACTCTTAGAGGAAAACATAGGCAGAACACTCCATGCCATAAATCACAGCAAGATCCTTTTAGAGCCACCACTTAGAGAAATGGAAATTAAAACAAAAATAAACAAATGGGACCTAATGAAACTTAAACCTTTTGCACAGCAAAGGAAACCATAAACAAGACGAAAAGACAACCCTCAGAATGGGAGAACATATTTGCAAATTAAGCAACTGACAAAGGATTAATCTCCAAAATTTACAAGCAGCTCATGCAGCTCAATATCAAAAAAACAAACAACCCAATCCAAAAATGGGCAGAAGACCTAAACAGACATTTCTCCAAAGAAGATATACAGATTGCCAACAAACACATGAAAGGATGCTCAACATCACTAATCATTAGAGAATTGCAAGTGAAAAACGCAATGAGGTATCACCTCACAACTGTCAGAATGGCCATCATCAAAAAATCTACAAACAATAAATGCTGGAGAGGGGGTGGAGTAAAGGGAACCCCCTTGCACTGTTGGTGGGAATGTAAATTGATACAGCCACTATGGAGAAGAGTATGGAGGTTCCTTTAAAAACTAAAAATAGAACTACCATATGACCCAGCAATCCCACTACTGGGCATATAGCCTGAGAAAAGCATAATTCAAAAAGAGTCATGTACCGCAATGTTCGTTGCAGCTCTATTTACAGTAGGTAGTTCATGGAAGCCACGTAAGTGTCCATCGACAGATGAATGGATAAAGATGTGGCACATATATACAATGGAATATTACTCAGCCATATAAAGAAATGAAATTGAGTTTTTGTAGTGAGGTGGATGGACCTAGAGACTGTTGTACAGAGTGAAGTAAGTCAGAAAGAGAAGAATAAATACCATATGCTAACACATATATATGGAATCTAAAAAAAAAAAATGGTTCTGAAGGACCTAGGGGCAGGACAGGAATAAAGACGCAGACATAGAGAATGGACTTGACACGGGGAGGGGGAAGGGTAAGCTGGGACGAAGTGAGAGAGTGGCATGGACATATATACACTACGAAATGTAAAATAGATAGATAGTGGGAAGCAGCTGCATAGCACAGGGAGATCAGCTCGGTGCTTTGTGACCACCTAGAGGGGTGGGATAGGGAGGGTGGGAGGGTGACCCATGAGGGAAGAGATATGGGGATGTATGTATATGTATAGCTGATTCATTTTTTTATGAAGCAGAAACTAACACACATTGTAAAGCAATTATACTCCAATAAAGATGTTTAAAAATAAATAAATAAATTTAAAAAATAAAAAAAAGAAATAGAACAGAAATACAGTGATCTTAGTTTCTGGCTATAGAGAATGTAAACTCCAGCAAAAATATGCATTTCTATAAAAGTTTGAAATATTAAATTTGCATTTCTAGACCTCTTTAGTTATTGAAAAAAGTCTCATTTTACTGATTTGACTTAAACATACCTGTGGATGGAGGGTTTTAAGGTGGGCATCAGATGACAGTGTAAGAGCCAACATGAATTATTCCTGTAAAATCAGGAAGAGTCCAGAAAGAAGGGCCTGTGTTTGTGTAATATATAGCCCTGCTTTTTTTTTAAACAAAGCTGAAGAGATGTGTGTTCAGACAGATGTGTGTTCAAATCCTGACACTCTTACTGTCTTACTATCTTTATCCTAAAATGAAGACAACCTACCTCATATAGTAGGTATGAGAATTAAATGTGTCTATAAATTTTAAAATGTATTGCACATAATAAGTGTTTAGTAAATAGTAGGTGCTATAAAAGCATAGAAGGGCGTGACAGATGTGTCCATTATAAAAAGATATCTGTTTCATTTTCTAAAGTAGTATAGTATATGAGCATGTTTTATAATGAACACTGTAAGTTAATTTTTAAATGTGATGTTTTTCCAAAGAATATTGAACATTATGAAAGTGCTTAATCTTAGTAAATTTTTACTTCATTATCATGGAAAACAGAATTGTTTGTCACCAGGATGGTGAGAATAAATCCTTTATATGGTGTTGATACCCAGATGATTTAGTTAAAGAGGATTGAAGCCAGTGCACTGAAAATCTCATAGCATGAAATCTTTTCATATAAAATTTATGTTTATATTTAATATTGTTTTTAAAATTTGCTATAATTTTAAAGAATAACATGCCTCTGAATTCCCAATTTTTTTCTCTCTGTAAGATAAGTGCATGTAAAACAATTTATTCCCCCTGGATTAGTTGAATAGCTAAATCCCTGATGCTACTAAACTCACATACAAAAGACATAATGGGATTCCTTTATTTACTTTCAGATTTTCAGACGTTGCTGGTTGGTTTTTAAGAAGGCGTCTAGTAAAGGACCCAGAAGGCTAGAAAAATTTCCAGATGAAAAGGCAGCATATTTCAGAAACTTTCATAAGGTAAGTCACGGTCTTTGGAATCTCTGGGGAATAACTGTACCCTTGGCAACAACTGTGGAGACATTTCTTTTGATAGATGAAATCTGCAGAGGCAAAAATGCATGGCCAGGATAAAATGTCCCTGCACTGATAAAATGCAGAAGTTGTTTTTCTCCTTTATTTTAATCATCTGCTATAAATGCCAGTGGTACCTCTGCAAAATGAAAGACTCATTTTTATTGCTACTTTGCAAAATGAGATGACTCATAACTCAACCAGATCATTTCCCAAGGTGCTGAGTAGGCATTTTCCCTCTTTTCAGGTTAATTGTTCATTTTTTACTTTGATTTAAAGCGTGGGCAATGTTTTGGAGATAAAACTTTTGAGGCTGGTGTTAGCAGTGTTAATGACACTGTTAATGTACAAAGCATTTGCTCTTTACAGCATAACAAGAACGATCATCATGTATGCTGATGTGTAGAGATGTGACTTAAATCCTATGAGTGAAATAGCAATTTCCTAAGAATTAAAAGTATGTAAGAAATTGCCCTAGAATGATGCTAAATGTGCTGCTGAAAGTTATCTCTGGTGATAATGTCAAAAAAGAGTTAAGTATTTGATAGTAACGTGGAGGATTCATGATCAGAATGCAGAATTGTGAAACAGCATTGCTTTTTTGATAGAATGCCTACATAAGCTCAGGAAAGACTGTAATTCCTCACTGGTGGTAACATAGAGTAAGTTACCCTGAATAATGTCATTAGTCTGTGGAATTTATTTTATGTGAGATATCGTGCTAATTTCTTCTTTTATTAAAAATAGAGTGCTTGCCAGGGATGAGGGGGGTGGGAGGGATAAACAGGCATAGGACTGAGGATTTTTAGGACAGTGAAACTACCCTTTATGCTACTATAATGGTGGATGTATGTCATTATAAATCTGTCCAAAGCCATAGAATGTACAACACGAAGAGTGAACCTTACTGTAAAATATGGACTTTGGGTGATTATGTTGTATCAAAGTAGATTCATGAGTTATAACAAATGTACCATCTGGTGGGGATATTGATAATGGGGGAGGCTATGTATTTGTGAGGGCAGGTTGCATAAGGGAAAGCTCTGTACTTTCTGCTCAATATTGCTGTGAACATAAAACTGCTCTAAAAATTAAAGTCTATTAAAAATAGATTATTCAGCAGTAATGTGCTAACCAATCCTATTACACAAATAACTAGCAATCTTTTGTATTAGATTTGAACCTATATCATAAGGCTTAAAATGTGAATTTCTTTAACTCTCTATGAGGTATTCTGTATTTTAATATAGATTTACTAATAGAGAATCCAAGTTCAAGTTCCTGCCCAGCCACTTACAAGCTCATAGTAGTTTGGTTTTCTCATGAGGACATGGATTTTAAAATTGTAATATTACATGTCTCTTTTGAAGACTATTTAAGATAGAGTATCAAATAACAACCAACACAGTGATGCAGGTTCTTACTATATGAAAAATTATTTGCAGCCTGAAGTCATATTGATATTTTGTATGATGATGATGACCATGGCAATAATTTTAAGCCTGACTTAATGACAAACTGCCAGGTCGTGAAATGTAAGTCTGTAATGTTTAGTTTTTGAGTAAAATTTTGGAAGACTGAGCATAGTATATATTCTGTGGATTCCTGGTCAGAACACCTGCCTGCTGGTCAATGCTGTACCCTGGCTGGACGCTCTCTAGCCAGCGCACCTAGAGTCCATGTACTCATGATTCAGCCATCTTCTACTTGCAAAATGGCAACATTATAAGCAGTATTATAACCACCTATAAGGGTTAATAATTTAGACAAAGATAAGTATAAGCTGTCTGCTTTACACGATGCACTGGGGGGCACGAGGACATGTATGAGGCACAGTCCTTGCCCTGAAAGAGCTTGTATTCCAGAGGAAAAGACACACATATGCAGATAATTTTGATTCAATATGAACAAGTCTTAATAAATTGAAAAGGGTTGAGGTCATAAAGAGTGTGTTCTCTGACCATAAATTATTTAAATTAGAAATCAATGTTATCTAGTAAATGCTAAATATTTGGTAATTAACATAGTCTAAGGGGTAATAATTCCAAGGCAATGTAGTAGTCACAGAGGCTATTGGCAGGTATTCTAAACTCAAAGATAATAAAAACACAAATATCAGCATGTGTGGAATAGAGCTATACCGGTGAGTATAGGGAAATGTATAGCTATGAGTTCTTACATTAGAAAGAAACAATAAATGCAGGAGAAAATATCAATGAAACAGAAACCAAAATAGCAGTCAGGAAATTTTGTAAAGTCAATAGCTGTTTCTTTTACCAAAAAAATCACTCACTTGATAAACTCTTAACCGAATTTATCAGGAAAAAAAATAAGAAAAATCAAAGGCTGGTAAGAGTAGAGGGGTTATCACTACAAATTCTGCTTGACAGCTTAAAGGAAATAGACAAACTCCTTGAAAGATACAAACTACCCAGTCTTATTCAATAGCTGAAGACCTAATAAAAACTTTGAACTTATAGTTCACAACTTTCCCACCAAGAAAACTTCAGGTCCATATCATTTCACTTGTTAATACTACAACATATTTAAAGGGAAAAAAATAATCCACATGAATACTTAAGGAAAATATAAAAAGGAGGAAACCCTTTCCAACTCACTTTATCAGACTGATATCTGAAAACCAAAACTAGACAAAGACACTAGGGGAAAGGGACTGATCAGTATCCCTAAAAATCAGAACATTTAAACAAAATATTAGGAAATCTAATTCAACAATATGTTAAAATGATAACATATGATCAGGTAAGATTTACGACAGAAATGCAAGGTTGTTTTAACATTTGAAAATCGACCAATGTAATAATGTAGAAATAAAGAGAAAATATATCATGGGATCCTTTAAATGTATACAGAAAGACAGTTCTGTATGCATATAAAGACAAAATTCAACATCCATTTATTATTTAAAACCCTCAGAACATCAAGGACAGAATGAACTTCCTTAATCAGAAAAAAAGCATCTAACAAATACCTACAGAAAAGAAAAAGAAAACTCTGTTTCTATGCTCAGTGACATAATCATTTGTTGAAAATGCATGATCGTCTTCAAAACAAATACCAGAACTAATGAATGAATTTAGTGAATGACATTTTATGATCATTTGCATTTTAAATAGTAGCAGTTAACACTTGCTAAATTAATTTTTTAAAAAAAACTCAATTTACAGTAGTGCCAACAAATAATTATAAAGCACATGTGCAATCTCTACACTGAAAACTATGGAAAATAGCTGAATTAAAGAGGACCTAAATAAATGGCAAGAAATAAAATATTCTTAGATTGATACCAATTCAATATTGTTAGGATGTCAGTTCTTCCTAAATCGATATGTAACATAATTCGTATCAAAATTCCAGGAATATTTTCTTGTAGGTATTGACAAACTAATTCTATATGGATATTTTCATAACCTATATTAACCAATGCAATTTTAATAAAGAAGAACAAAGTTGGAAATTTATAAGATTTCATGACTTACTATAAAGTGACAGAAATCATGATATTATGATTTTAGCAAAAGGATATTTATATAGATCAATGGAAGGGAATAGAGAGGTCAGAAATGAACTGATACATATATGGCCAGTTGCATTTTGACAAAGGTATGAAGACAAGTCAATAGGAAAAGAAACTTTCTCCAACTAATGGTGCCAGAACAACTAGATGTCTCTGTAAATAAATGAACATTGATCTTATATCACATTATACACATAATAAACTCAGAGCAGATCATTGGTCTAAATTTAAATGCCAAAACTATAAAACTCCCCGTAGTAAGTATAGAAGAAAACCTTTTCCACTTTGTAATAAGCAAATATTTCTCAGCAAATATTTGTAATAAGCAAATATACACAAAAAGTATAAACCATAAGAAAAAATTGGTAAATTGAGCTATATTGAAATTTAAAACTTTTTCTCTTCAAGTGATCTAGCTAACAAAATAAAAAGGCAGGTAAGTCTGGGAAAATACATGCAAACATGTCTCTGACCAGAAACACATATCCAGAATACTTAAAGAATTCTTAGAACTCAATAATAGGATATTTTTAGGTTGAACAAAAGTATTTTAGGTTGAACAAAAGATGTGAACAGATATTTTCCAAAATAAGATATATGAACAGCAAACAAGAACATGAAAAGATGCTCAACATCACCAGTGATCTGCAAGATTTAAATTCAAAGTAACACTGTCCATCCATTAGAATGGCTAAAACTAGAAAGATTGAAACTAACCAGAGTTGTAGAACTCATACATTGCTGATGGACATGTAAAATTTTATAAGCACTTTGTAAAACAGTTGGCAGTTTCTTTAAAAGAGTAAACATACATCTGTCCAGCCATTCCACTTCTAGAAATTTACTCCCCTTCCCTGCAAATGAATAGCCATGTCCAAATAAATATATGTACGAAAATGTTCATAGGAGCGTTATTCAAAATAGCCTACAAGTGGAAACAACCCAAACAGGAGAGTGAATAAACTAATTGTGGTACATCCGTCAATGGAAAACCACTGAATGATTGAAAGGAAAGACCTACTGATACACATAATAACAGATGAATCTCAGAATCATAATGCTGACTGAAAGACAGAAGACCCAAAATAATACATATTGTATAATTTCACCCTTGTATTTGTAGTAACAAAATTCTTATTTATAGGAAAAAAATCATATCCTTGTTTGCCTTTTTTTTTTTTTTTTTTTTTTGCGGTACGTGGGGGCTTCTTACTGCTGTGGCCTCTCCCGTTGCGGAGCACAGGCTCTGGACGCACAGGCTCAGTGGCCATGGCTCACGGGCCCAGCCGCTCCGCGGCATGTGGGATCCTCCCGGACCAGGGCACGAACCCGTGTCCCCTGCATCGGCAGGCGGACTCTCAACCACTGTGCCACCAGGGAAGCCCCTTGGTTGCCTATTTTGAGGGAG